TCACCAGTGACAACCCTTGGGTCGATGTCAAAGGTGTCATTGGCTGGGTCCACGTGGCCGCGGTGGTAGTACCGCTGGCAGAGGGCCAGGGCTGAGCCATTGGCCCAGGGGGTGCCCCCGCCCCGTACATATGCGTAGTGGCCCAGCGACACATTAGGGAGCATCAGGTACTGTAGGCAGAGAAGGGAAGGGTCCGTCAGCCCCACCACCACCACCTGCCCACCTGCCCACCTGCCCTGGCTGCCCGCACCTGGTCCACAGCATAGAAGATAGCCTGGTAGAGCTGCTCCCGAGTATAGGCGGCGAAGGTGTCATCTGCCCCATCAGAGTAGCCCAGGAGGAAGAGGTGGCGGAAGGCAATGGTGTTCTCCTCGCGGAATGTCACTGCCAGCTGGTTGCTGAGCCCAAAAAGGATGAGCTGGTGGGATGACAGGGGGTTGACACTGCTGGGATGGGACCGCCCTCGATGCATGCATGGAGGAAGAGTAGAGGACCCACTCCATGCCCCCCATCTTCCATGCCCACCATTTGTTTCCAATGCATAGCACATAGTGGCACTCATATATTTCAAGGTAGCAATTAGTGTTAATGAAATGTTTACCTGATGCCAACTTCCATGCTAACCCAAACCTATAGGGTAAGTATCACAGTGCTGGAACCCTTACCAAGGGGAAATTAGAAGCACAGTCACATGTCCAAAGTCACAGCGCCCTAGGGCAGGGTCTGATTCATCTTGGGATCACAAGACCCCAGCACAGAGCCTGGCATGGGAAAGGGGGCAAGTATCTGTTCAGCCACTGGGTCAGTTCTCTTTGAGGGTCAACATGGTGCCAGACTGCCTGGGTTCAAGTGCCAGCAAATCCCCGTGCCTGGTTGCCATGTGACTTTGGACCAATCCCTTCACCTCGCTGAGCCTCAGCTGCCTCATCTACAAAATGGGGGCATGTGTGAGGTTCAAAGGAGCTGCCCACCTAGAGCTCAGCGGGTTTTCTGACTTATTACTGCCACTGTTACAGTCATCATGCTGCCGCAGGGTCAGCACAAGGTTCTGACTCCCAGACTCTCCTTCACACACAACGGTTCCTGCTGGGGCTCCCAGAGGTCTCACCTGTACAGTGACTACCAAGATCTTAACCACTTGCAGCATCAGCTTAAAGGGCTTGCGGCCCTTGGCCCGAAACTTGTCACAGGGACTCATAAAGAAGTACTTGAGGCGGCGGCGGAGGTCTTCTTCTTCCAGAGGGGCTGGGGGGGCCGGCGACGCCCCCGCCTGGGTCCCATACCCGGGGCTGGCGGTCAGGAGGTGCTCGGTCTCTGTGGGGATGGAAGAGAGCAGTGGGGACCGGACCCAGCCCGGCCTACCTCCCCAAAGGAAGGCAGATCCCACATCCCAGCCAAGAAAGAATTCTGGGAGATCTCAGAAAATCTGAAAACCTACGTTTTATGAATATATGCAGCAGTGCTGCTCGGAGGTTGAAAATTCAAGTTTGGGACTCAAAAGGGCCTGAGTTGATACCTGACCCTGATGCTCACTGGCACGGGCAGGGCACCCAGACTCTTTGGGCTCAAGTTCTCATCGGCAAAATGTGGCAATAGCATCTCTCACAGGAAGATGAGGATTTGACGCTTACAAAGTATTTATCACAGGGCTCGTAGTGTGGTAAGAATGTCAGGCGGTAAGAATGCCAGGACATCCCACCATTATTCCTGTTGATCTGTGAGGAGAGAATGAATTGCTCCCACTGGCTTCTCACAGGGTACTCAAGGCTCCTGGGCATATCCCAACTCCAAACCCCAGGTATGAACATGGAACTCAGCTGCATTCTAGTATTTTCTAGAAAACCCTTCCCACTCATCATGACCTGATCTGTCCAGCTGATGCTCTCACAGCCACAGGCTTGGAGAAGGGAATGTCAACACGTAGGGCAGTAAGGGAATGCATTTGCTGAAGACTCACTGTGCGTGGGCCAATGTTATTACAGCACTACCCGTATGTCAGTTTGTGAGCTAATATGGCATCTTCATTAAGGCTACCAGCTCCTGGAAACCACACAGCCCTAGGACCAAATCCCAGACCTGCCTCTTCCTGGTCGGGGGACCCCAGGCACCTTCCTAAGTCTCAGTTCCCTCAGCTGAAAAACGGAAAAAGCCTGGGCGCTGGGGCCAGTGGCTGAGCATCAACCCATGAACTAGGAGCTGGTCTTCTCATCCCTGTCAGGCACATGCACGGGTTTCTGGCTCGATGCCCAGTAGGGGGCATGCAGGAGGCAGCCAATGATTCTCTCTCATCATTGATGTTTTATCTCTCTCTCCCTCTCCCTTTCTTTCTGAAATAATTTTTTATAGTGGAAATTTTTTAAAAGTCTCCCCAAGGCCAAAACCCTGAGAATGCTTCCAGAATGGAGTGAGACAACGCAGCTCAGCTCGAATATCAGTAATTCTTCAGGAGACAGAGGCTATTCTAAGCACTGCCTGTTCCTTTCAATCCCCACCAGCCTAAGAGGAAGGGCCAAGGTTTCCGCAACTGCTGGGGTCACAGCTGGTCACAGCAGCCCAGAACTGTCCCTGACACCCCCACCACCACCCTACTGGGAGAACCCAGCTTCTTTCCAGGACCTGGCTGCCCCCCTGCCTGGCACTGCCACCAAGATGACTGTGGCCACTGCCAGAACCTGTTCTGCAGGGAGGGCCAGCTCCTGACTGGTCCGGTCCCTTTGGAGTTTGGATGCTTTCGCAGTTGTCTACCAGAGAGCTGGATGGAAGCCAGAGGGCAGGCCAGCCTCTCTCTCGGGGTCATAGCGAACCCATCCCAGGCCCTACCAGTGAGACACCTCTCAGGGTACCCCGCTAGTTCCACAAGGGAAGATCAAGAGCAGGGCCTTCCTCCAGGCCCCCCCAGGAGAGGTGGAGACTGAGGGGACTGGAGGCGGGGCACCCCACGCCTGCATTCAGGAAACTGAGCTTCCATGGGTTCGGAGATCTGAGAGTCAGGCGCCGAGGCTCAAGGAGGCAATGCCCCAGTCCTCGGCCTGGGGTTAGAGAAGCGGAGCATCCACCTCCTGGCTGGGGGAAGGAAATCTGGGGAGTCTCGTGCGGGGTGGAGAAACCGGTGCCCGCCGAGTTCCAGCAAAGCTGAGCGGTCACAGCGGAGGCTCAGAACGGGAGCCTCGCTGCCCGAGTCAGAGAAGCTGGCGGGGCCCGCTCGCGA